GGTTTTTGCTATAGGGCGCGTGCACTCACCAGAAAGACAGAGACAGAAAGCGAGAAATCACCCCCCAGGGGGGATGGCCAGGTCACAATCCCTTCTCCTCCATTCTCCTTTCGGGATCTTGGGCACACAATGCACACACGCCCAGCATGAGTTTAAGCCACTGGGACCAGGACTCAAACCGCAGTCTACTACATGAGAGTCCAGCGACATAGACATTACGCCAACTGCTGGTGATAATTTTTAAAAGACATAAATGCCATAGTTTCTGTATCATATTAAAATAAGTGGGGACCCGGATTTTGAAAGGGTGCCACGGCTTCTTGACCCCCTGCTTTAGGTGAATTGGGGGTAGATTTCTAGAAACATTCTTACGAAATAGCACACAACACTGAAACCCATGCTCTGCCATGTCTTCTATAATTCAGGCCCGAACTCCTTCATGCATATTATGCATGCATCATTAGAAATAAGGCTGTGGCACCAGCAGGTGGCATGGTGGCTAATGTGCTAGACTACCACATGGCCAGCCACAGTTCCAGTTCAAGTACTGAACCTGGAGACTTGCTTTCTCACTGTCCCTCTCTCTTTTTTTTTTTCTCTCTCTCAGAGCATGCAAGCCCTGTTAGCAAATTATAATAATAATAATTATGAATTTTTAAAATTACACAAATAATTCTTTTTTAATGTAAAAATAAATAAGGGCGTGGCTGTGTACCTGCTGAAACTGGACGCTAGCAAGGTACACACACACACACACACACACACAATGGGCACTCATTTGTGCTTAATAAGGAAAGTACGACGAGGTCCTTCATTTAGGATGGTGCAGTTGGTGATTTTTTTTATGCTAAGATGCTTCTAGGGGATGGCAGGTGGTGTGATGGTTACGTAGCTGGACTTGCACATAGTTGACCACAGTTCAAGTCCCAGACCCAGCAGCTTAAAACTCACGCCGGGCACATGAGTGTGCATGCCCAAAGTCCCAAGAGGAGAATAAAGGAGAAGAGACTGTGGCCTGGCCATCCCCTCGGGGGTGAGTCTTCACTTTCTGTTTTCGCTTTTTCTGTCTCTCTAGTGAGTGCACGTGCCCCATAGCCAAAATCTCTCTTAAAATAAATAAATAAATAAATAAATAAATAAATAAATAAATAAATAAATAAATAAAGGTACTTCTAGGACCAGCAGGTAGCATAATGGTTAAGGTGCTGGACTCCCAAATAACCGACCATGGTTCGAGTCCTGGGCCTGGTGGTTTGAAAATCACTCCAGGCACGTTCACCTGCATACCCAAGACCCTGGGAGGAAAAAGGACAAGGCCATCCCTTCTAGAGGGTGATGTCTCACTTTCCCTCTCACTGTCTCTGTCTCTCTCCAGCGAGTGCATGTGCCATAGACAAAAATCTCTTTCAAAATTAAAAAGAAAGAAATGTACATGTCTATGTTCTGGTGGTTTCAAGCAGCACTGCACAGATGAGAACTGATGGGTCCAAATCAACCTAAGGCCTGGGTTGTAAAAAGAGAGAGGGAGGGAGGGAGAAATCAAGGGAGGAAGGAAAAAAGGAAGAAGAAAAGAAATAAAGGAAATGCAACAAAGATCTTACGTGGGCCCACAAAGCTTAGAATATTTACTGTCTGGGCCTTTCAGACAGTTTGCCAACCCTGGCTTGGGAACAACAGTGAGGGTACATAATGCCTTCGAGGGCCAGACCTGGAAAGAAACCAGGTAACCAGCAGACTGAGGTGGTAGCAAGGAGCAGTTTTCACAATAACACAGCCTAGCAACCCATCCCAGTTCTTACTGTCTTCAAAACCGCAGCCCTGTCCTTCACACAGCTGTGCGGTGGCTGGGCTCAGCTGGGACAGCTGTGCTCATCTTGGCTGACTCCCGCGTGCGTCTGCCGGCTAGTTGAGAGAGTGAGTGCTCTCCTCCTGCAGTACCAAAGGCCAAAAAAGAGTGGAAACATGAACAGCCCTTAGAGGGCTTGGCTTGAAGCTAACACGTTGTTGCTTACCTTCCCTGCATGCTCTTGGGCAAAGCAAGCCACGTGGTACTGTCCAGGGGAGCTGCCTGGTCACACGGCGAGGATATGAGTGGATAACTCGGGCCAATAATGCAAACTGAAAGTCACTCCATTCTTGCTGAGGACTAGCACGTGCCAGGCATTCTTCTAGGTCTGGGAATTTATCTGCAAACAGGACCATCCTCCTTCCCCGCCGGGGGGTGCGATTCTAACAAGATGCAAAAAGGATGGCACATTCAGCACTACCCTCTTCTTGCCTGCTTTGCTTTGTCCCTGAGCCGTTGACATTTTCCTTTCTAGAGGGCAGGGATCTTCTGGTCTTGCCCAGCTGTGTCCCCTCGTATTCAGCATTGGACTCCGGGCAAGGGACGTGCCCAGTCACAAATGGGGGGGGGGAGCAGCTATTTTTCTATCTTTCCTTTCTAGGAATCACCGACTCTCTGTCAGTTCATCTACAGATGGAAAAGAGCGAAATGACAGAAATTCAGATCTCCAGATTAGCAGACGAGGCAAAGCTGGGGCGCGAGGCAAATGACGAGTAACAGCGGAACTGGATTTAGGAGAATTTGAATCATTTGGGCGAGAGAGCCCGCAGATGGCACATGCTGCTCGGGTAGAGAAATGGGTCACTGCTCCCAGCCTCGTCACCACAGCCTGCCAGACCGTGAGGGGAGCGGAGCGTGTGCACCGCAGGCTGGCCGGGGGCGATGCCAATGCCCGTGCCCGCCGCAGGATGGCAAAGCCAGCTTAGGAGAGAGTGTCGTGCCCAGCGATTTCTTGGCTTTAATCTTAACTGCCTGGGTGGGATGAGGGCAGCCCCATGGCATAGCAGATTGGGCCAGGCTGGCTAGTGAGCACAGCTCTGATGCCAACACAGCCCTCAGGTGACAGCCTGGGGAACCCAGGCCCACTGTGCCGGGTGACCCAGTACCGTGACTGCTTTGGACAAAAGACTGGTGCGGGGCATGGGGGGTCTTCAGTCCATCCCTGACTCGGCTCGCTGAGGAAGGCTCCATGACCGTAGCTCCTTCGTCTGTGGAGAGGGCTTTAAGACTCTTGCTCTATCTAGGTCATGAGATTTTAGCAAGGATTGAAAGATTTAGGAAGTGCCAAAACAAACCAGAAACTGCCAGCCTCAACCGAACAATGTCCACTCGGGGAGACGGGTAGTGTTTGGTTTCGTCTCAAATAAGCAAATGGTGCTCTGTATTTGGGAAAGGGATGCGATGCCTGGGGACAAAGACATCTTCAGAACTGGGGCCAGGTGGTGGAGTAGTGGTAATTTAAGTGGACCCACCGAAGAAGGTTCTAGGTTCAAGTCCCGGGACCGTCCTGTGCGTGCTAGACATTCGTGTGCACATCCATGACCGCGACCAGCCTGGGGTTGGAAAGCAGCATGAAGACTTTTCTCTCTGTGTAAGTCAATAAAAATAAAACTTGAAAAAAATCCTGAAAGAGATTGTCTTCCAAGTTGAAAGTAAGACATCTTTCATGTTAAGAAAAAAGTAACTGTGAAGAATGATTTTTCAAAGCTTGAAGAGGGAAAGTTTCAGAAGCCAGACTCCTCTCAGGAGGGTAATAAATACAGAAAATAAGTTCCTCTTGAGTAATCGAAGCAGCGTCTGAATAAGCACAAAACACTACATCCCTCTTGAATGAAGGGAATTAAGAATGGGAGGGGATGGACAAGGATTCAAAGATCAACGTTGAAAAGGCAGACATGGGTGGAGCCCAGCAGCTGGCATAATGGCTATGTCGCTGAACTCCCATGTAGTCAACCGCGGTTCGCATCCCGGCCCCAGTGGCTTAAAACTCACGCTGGGCGTGTGTGTGTGTGCCTAAAATCCCGAGAGGAGAAGGGACTGCAGTGTGGCCCTCCTCCCTGAGGGGTAATTTCTCACTTTCTGTCTCTTTGGTTAGCGCACATGCCTACAACAAAACCCTCTCTCTCAAAACAAAAAAGGAAAGACCAGCGTGTTCTTTTTCGGACATGAGGTAACCCCGGACAGGCGGGGCCCAGCCGGCAGTCCTCCTCAGCCCCACAGCAGTTCTGACACAGTGCCCACCATCACACAGCACTCGGTCAGCTTGCCACCACCGCCCCTTGGCCCTCCTGAGCTATCACTTGTTGCTACTTTTATTTTATTTATTTAATTGTTTTTGGAGAGGTTTTTGCTATGGGGTGCGTGCGCTCACCAGAAAGACAGAGAGAGACAGAGAGACAGAAAGTGAGAAATCACCCCTCTGGGGGGATGGCCACACCGCAATCCCTTCTCCTCCATTCTCCTGATGGCCACACCGCAATCCCTTCTCCTCCATTCTCCTGATGGCCACACCGCAATCCCTTCTCCTCCATTCTCCTGATGGCCACACCGCAATCCCTTCTCCTCCATTCTCCTGATGGCCACACCGCAATCCCTTCTCCTCCATTCTCCTCTCAGGATCTTGGGCATGCATGCACATGTGCCCGGTGTGAGTTCAAGCCACCGGGTCCGGGACTCGAACCACGGTCGACTACGTGGGAGTCTAGCGACATAGCCATTACGCTACCTGCTGGTCCCACTACTTTTATTTTAAGTTACCTCTTCCTCGCCCCGTCCTGTGAGACACAAAGGGGCAGGCAGTCAGAGCCACGTGCAGACAACTTTAACCACCCGCTGGGCTGAGGGCAGCGACAGCAGCAGAATTTATAGAATGGGTGCATGGAACTGCATAGTAAAAGGTGATAAATCACCTCTCGTCACGAAGCAAATTCTCACCCACTGTCACCTGGACCGTAGCCTGCGAGGAGTGCCACGCCTCACCTGGAGGTGGTACCCACCCCCTGGAAATGAAGTGCCCGATGCCTCAGAGGGTCACGCAGATGTGGGCAGTATTTATGCTTCCGGGTGATCCGTCAAGTATCAGAAGGTGTCTGGAGGCATGAGTGAGAAGGCCCCTAAAAGCAATGACTCTTTTATGGGGTTTTAGATAATGGTAATTTTCCGTAAATCCTGACCAGTCGTGCCATGGGCCAAGAGCAATTAACATTAATTAAACGATAGCCATGAAGAGGTGGCTTTGCTGACACAGTGACAACCTCCAAACGCGCTCCGCCTGCCAACATTCTCGAGTGCCGGCCACACGCCTGCTGCCTCCGCGTGGCCGTGGCCATGCACACCCGTGCGTAGCGCCACTCGGCTCCAACGCCACCCTGCAGACCCCCACTCCTCACACTGACACGTGTGTGGCACAAATACTCGGCCATCTCATTAACGTGAAATGCTGAGTCAGCAGGTCAGGGTGGGACTGAGAGTTTGCTGTCCCCAGACCACACTCTGCTAAGTGACATTGTTTGAAAACCCTGCAACAGGCCCCAGTGGCGTGGCCTAGGTCAGACGCGAGAGGACGACCCCTGTCACCCTGCTGCGCTGGCCTTTCTAGCTGCCTCTCCTTCCCAGGGCACTACGCGATGAGGAACACTGTGCAGACCCCAAAGTCACCCTCAAAGTCACCCTAGGTCTTGGAAGCCCAGTCTTCTGTAGAAAGGAGCAGCGACAGGCTCAGCCGTATGCCCGTGTGCAGTGTACACAGGCTGACGCTGCTGCCTGGTGGGCTGAGGCCACATGGAAAGCCAGGGTTCAATTCCCGGCCTCCCTGAGAAGCCAGGCATGGTGGTGCACAACTGCATCGTAGTCCCAGCTACTTGGGAAGCTGAGGCAGGAAGATGCTGACCCATCACGACTCTGTCTAAAAATAAGAAAAGAGAGACAGGAAGGAAGGGAGGGAAGGAGGAAAAGGCAGAGATGAATAACTAGCTTCTGAAAAAGACAAATCCAGGAACATCTTCCCCCTCAGGCCTTCTGTATTTTGTACTCACCTTTTAGGAAAATCAACTAGGAAAAGCCATATCCCCATCAGGGACGTGGGGGGTGGGACTTCTTCCAAGATGGAAGGGTTCAGAGCCAGAAGAGGAACCTTTTCAGTGGAGCTGAGAGCCTCTATCTCCAGGCAAAGATTCATTTCTATATTTACACTATGGGGCGATAGGAAGGAGTTGGATTTAGGGGCTGGTTCATATCCAATAATGGTGTCGAGGATGGGAAGGTGGTGCCCATATAGGCTGCAAGTCGTGTGTGTGTGTGTGCACGCCTGTGTGTGTGTGTGTGTGTGTGTGTGTGCGCGCGTGCACGCCTGTGTGTGTGTGTGTGTGTGTGTGTGTGTGTAGAGAAGGGGCACAGGGATGTGAGTAGCGGGTACAACAGGAATGGCCACCAGTCAAACATTTCAGGAACAGCCTGAGACGCTTTGGTGGGGAGAGCCTATGAGTGAGGACAACCCTGAGGAGGTGACCCGAGGAGGTGCCCCAAGCAGGTGACTGGCAGATGGAAAGAGGGCTATAAGTCCGGGCTGGGACTGAGAATCGAGAAAACAGGACAGAGAGAAGTCAGGACGCCATCAGGGCCATCACGGGGAGCAGATGTGAGGTTTGTAGCAGCCCTATAAAGTTGGAGGCCAATCGGTCATAAAATTAGATTATGATATTACCATGAAAGCATCGGTAACGAGGTGTTGTCTGTGGGATGGTTTCATTTCAATTCAGGAATGATGTGATTGAAATGTAAAGCATGCCCTGAGTCCACAGAAAGGGGCCTATGGTCTTGTCTTCAAGTAGCCTTCTAGCTATTTCCTGATTCCCAAATAAATCCAAAGTATGAAAATACTGGGGAAGGGAAGGGGGACTATTGCATTGCATGGATGAGCTCTCAGGAAGGAGTCATGAGAGAAGTGGGGAAGAGGGCCCAGGGATTTCACACAGAGAATTCTTGGGATTCCTCAGAGGCCTGAGTCATCTGACAGAGAAATTTGCCCTTGAGCTGTGGCCTTCGCTTTCTCTTCTTCTTTCTCTATAGCATTTTCAGTGCAATTCAAGCCAAGTCGGCTATTTATAGAGCGAGAAGAATTTTACCACAGGGTGTGGTGTTTAATTTAAAAAGATGTCCAAGAGCGAGGGGCAGATGGCCGAGCAGGCAGTTCCTCTCAGTGACCTTGGCGAGGACACCCAAGCCCACCTGACTCATCCCGAAAGTCAGAGACCAGAAATACCTTCTGATGAATGAACCCTGAGGTGATCAAGCCTTAGGGAAGAAAGGATAACTTGATAAGCCAGGTGCCTGCTTATTTATTTTAGTGGGTCTAGAGGTGGTTCATGAAATGAGACCAGATTTTATGTGTGTGTGTGTGTGTATGTGTGTGTGTGTGTAAATGAAAATGGGATTAAAGTATGAATTTATTCTGATGCCAAAAAATGGAAATTTATTCATGTATATTTTCCATGAAATGTTTGAAGACCCCTGTGTGCATGTGTGTATGTATCTCCTATATATATCATTTATATATATACACACACATGTATATATATAATTGGTTATATATGATAAATACATATAATTTCATATATATATATATAAATATAAATAATTGGTTCTGTTTTGTGGAGGACTCTGACTAATACAGCAGATGATTCTAATACTCAGCCAAGGTTAAGAACCACTGACCTATAAATCACAGATAAGGGGATGATTCATTCTGTCTAGGAAGGAGACTTCACAGAAGCCATCGTGTTTCAGCTGGACCAGAAAAAACAAGCAGCATTTGCCGTGCCAACCAGATGGGGCCAAGGAAAGGAATATTAGCAAGGGAAACCAAAGAGGGAGTGGGAAGACGGAAGGAGTAATTGGAGATGGCACTAAAATGGATGGGCCGGGCCTCAGTTCTGCCCTGCTGCAAATGCCATGGTTAAATAATGCAAGGAGCTATTGAAAAGTTGTACCCATGGGAGTGATGTGACATTTCTGCATTTTAGAAAGACAAATATGAAAGCTGTGTAGAAGAGAGGAGGAAAGACTGTAGTGAGGGGGCCCAATTAAGACATCAGTGTAAAAGCCTGTTATGGATTGAATGTTAGCGTATTCCCAAAATTCATATGTTGAAGCCCTAAACCCCAATGTGATGGTATTAGGAGGTGGGGCCTTTGGAAGATAATTAGGTTTAGATGACGGTACTGATGCACTTCTTCCTTTCCTTCCTTCCTTCCTTCTCTTTTTCTTTCTCTTTCCTTTCTTTCTTCTTTAATTCTTACCAGAGAGGAACAGAGAAAGAGAGAGCTAAAGTGAGAAAGCAAGCCACCAGGTCCAGGATTCAAACCATGGTTGGCCATGTGGGAGTCCAGCATGCTTAACCACTACACCACCTGCCGACCCCCTGATGCACTTCTAAGAAGAGGCACAGACACCAAGACCTTCTGTCTCCTTCATGTATAGACATAGTAAGAAAACATCTGTCTACAAGTCAGGAAGAGAGCCCTCACCAAAAACCATGTTTTCCCATACCT